TGGTAATGTACTCAATGTACCATTTGGTTTAAGATGTTAACATTTTGCCATATGTGTCCTAAAGTCTTTTCATGAAGAAATAAAACCTTACAAATATACTGGCAAGACCCTCTTCCTGCCCATCATGCCCCCATCCCTTCCCTTATGTTGTTGAGGTGGCGTGTGTTCTTCCCATCAGCTTTTTAATTTTACTACATATCTGTGCATTCATAAACAACATGTAGTGTTTTGTGTGTTACAATCATGTAGTGTGTCCTTTTGCAACCCATGTTTTCCACCCATTCATTTTGAATTGATCTATGTTGATGCAGGCATATTAAAAAACTCATACAGCTAGTTTCTTTTAGTTGTTAGGATTTTACTGTAGGAAATACGCCATCGTTTATTTAGATACTTTTTAACTTAATTATCAGGAAACACTTTGTGGTATTTTTAACTCAGTTTCAGAGAACATATTCAAACCTGGGTTTATCCGATTTCATCAAGCTCTCGATAAACATTTGGAAAATAAAGTTGGGAAAATGAGCTTGCAGGTTGCCTCCTAGCATATCTCTGGGATCTTCGTGTAAGTGAAATTGTTGGCTGTGTGCCCCACTGACCTGGGGTGGGCAAGACCAGGGCAGCCCGGTCTTTCTCAGTGGGACTGCACTGCAGGAGGACCCCTGGGTCTTCAGAGGGTGGCCGGTCAGCTACTTGGGACATTGGCTCAAGGGAAATACAACATCCTTTCTTTTTAAATGAACAATGCAGTAGATCTGTGATATATTTGAGACTCAAGAAGCATTGAGTAAAGTGTAGCAGGGGAGACAAAACTAACATAGAAAAATTGCATGCTAACCAGCTTAGTATACACTCTACCCCTTGTTACTTTTGACAAAAATGGGATATTCTATGTTTTTCTTTGCACCTTGATTTCTTACCCAACAATACTTAGTGGAGGTCCTTTCAAAGCACCTAGTATAGAACAAATTCATTTTTCACAGGGTGTATAATGTTCCACTTTATGGACATAGAATAACTTATTTGTCCATTCCCTTATAAATGGGTCATCTTTTTTTTTTTTTTTTTTGCTGTAAACTGCTGAAAACTGTAGTAATGTCCTTATGTGTCTCTGTATCAATTTTAATTTTTTAAATTTTTATTTTAGTTTTGGGGGTATGTGTGAAGGTTTGTCGCACAGATAAACATGCATCACAGGAGTTTGTTGTACATAGTATTACATCACCCAGGTATTAAGCTCAATACCCAATAGTTTCCTTTTCTGCTCCTCTCACCCTCCCTCTTCAAGGAGACCCCAGTGTCTGTTGTTTCCTTCTTTGTGTTCATAAGTTCTTCTCATTTAGCCTCCTCTTAGAGAACATGCGGTATTTGATTTTCTGTTCCTGCATTAGTTTGCTAAAGATGATAGCCTCCAGAACCATCCATGTTCATGCACAAGACATGATCTCATTTCTTTTTTATGGCTGCATAATATTTCATGGTGTATATGTACCACATTTTTTAATCCAGTCTGTCATCAGTGGGCATTTAGGTTGATTCCATGTCTTTGCTATTGTGAATAGTCCTGCAGTGAACATTCATGTGCATGTGTGTTTATGGTAGAATGCTTCATATTCCTCTGGGTATATACCCAGTAATGGGATTGCTGGGTCAAATGGTAGTTCTGCTTTTAGCTCTTTGTGGCATTGCCATACTGCTTTCCACAATGGTTGAACAAATTTATCCCACCAACAGTGTATAAGGGTTCCCTTTGTGACCTTGCCAGCATCTGTTATTTTTTGACTTTTTAATGATAGCCATTCTGACTGGTGCGAGATGGCATCTCTTTGTGGTTTTGATTCACATTTCTCAAATGATCAGTGATATTGATCTTTTTTTTATGTGCTTGTTGGCCACATGTATGTCGTCTTTGGAGAAGTGTCTATGTCCTTTGCTCAATTTTTAATGGGGTTATTTTTCTCTTGTAAATGTGTTTAAGTTCTTTATAGATGCTGGATATTTGACCTTTGTCGGATACATAGTTTGCACACATTTTGTCCCATTCCATGCCTTTTAAGTGGGGCATTTAGCCTGTTGACATTCAAGGTTAGTATTGATATGTGTGGATTTGATACTGCCATTGTGCTGTTTGATCCTGTCATTGATCCTGTCATTAGCTGGTTATTATGTTGGCTTGTTTGTGTGGTTGCTTTACAGTGACACTGGTCTGTGTGTTTAAGTGGATTTTTGTATTAGCTGGTGGCAGTCTTTCTATATTTACTGTTCCTTCCAAGATCTCTTATAAGGCAGGTCTAGTGATGAAGTTCCTCAGCATTTGCTTATCTGAGAAGGATCTTGTTTCTTCTTTACTTAGGAAGCTTAGTTTAACAGGATATGAAATTATTCGTTGAAGATTTTTTAAAAAAAATAATGTTGAAAATAGGCATCTAATCTCTTCTGGCTTATAGGGTTTCAGCTGAGAGGTCCACTATTAGCCTAATGAGGATCCCTTTGTAGGTAACCTGCCCTTTCTCTCTAGCTGCCTTTCACATTCTTTCATTTCAACCTTGGAAAACCTGACAATTATCTGTCTTGGAGATGATCTTCTTGTGTAGAATCTTGCAGGAGTTCCCAGTATTTCCTGAATTTGACTGTTGGCCCCCCTAACAAGGTTAGGGAAGTTTTCATGGATGATATCTTGGAATTTTCCAAGTTGTTTGCTTTCTTCTTCTCCCTTTCAGGGATGCCAGTGATTTGTAGATTTGGCTTCTTTACATAATCCCATTCTTCTCAGAGGTTTTATTCTTTCCTTTTTTAAAAAATTTTTTTCATTTTTGCCTGACCTATTTCAGAGAACCAGTCTTCAAGTTCTGAGATTCTTTCCTCAGTTAGGTTTATTCTGCTGTTAATACTTGTGATTGCACTGTAAAATTCTTTTTTGTTTTTGTTTTTGAGACAGTCTCTCACTCTGTCACCCAGGCTGGAGTGCAGTGGCATAATCTTGGCTCACTGCAACCTCTGCCTCCCGGGTTCAAGCAATTCTCCTGCCTCAGCCTCCCGAGTAGCTGGGACTACAGGTGCCTGCCACCATACCCGGCTAATTTTTGTATATTTAGTAGAGATGGGGTTTCACCATGTTGACCAGGCTGGCCTCGAGCTCCTGACCTCAGGCAATCCACCTGCCTCGCCTCCCAAAGTGCTGGGATTACAGGAGTGAGCTACCGCAACCGATCGTAAAATTTTTATATTATTCGACTCTGTCAGACCCATTAGTTTCCTTTTTATGCTGACTATTCTATCCTTCAGCTCCTGTATCATTTTCTTGTGATTCTTCTTTTCCTTAGATTGGGTTTCACCATCCTCCTGAATCTCAGTGATCTTTGTTCCTATCCATGTTCTGAATTCTATTTCCTTTATTCCAGCCAGTTCTGCCTGGGTAAGAACTCTTGTTGGAGAACTGGTGTGGTCATTTGGAGGACATATGACACGCTGGTCATCTGAATGTTACCAGAGTTCTTGCTGGTTCTTTCTCATCTCTGTGTGTGGGCGTTCCTTTAATGTAGATTGAGTACAGTCAGCAGACTTCTTTTCTGGATGTTTTCACTGGGCTGATGCTTTGTGTAGGGTCTTTATTTGAAGCTTACTTGTTGTCTCTGGTTTCAGAGAGGGGTATGTTAATGAGGCATTTTTGGTGTTGAAGCTTTGGGGTGTGATCCAGTAGGTGGCACTTAGGTGTACTGGTCAGTTGCTAGACTCTTGCTTGGTTGTGTGACTCCCCTGTTTCCTCACAGTTTCCGCCGTGTTCCCTTTCAGTGCTCTGAAACTGTGCGTTCCTCTCCCACTTGAGTGCTGGCTCTCCTTGGCACTCCTGGAATGCCCACTGCAGTTCTGGGGTGATCTCAGTGTTTATGTTCCTTCCCCAGCTTAGAGGCAGCACAGGAAGAGATCTTAGCAGGGGTTGTGGCCAGGGGTCATTTACTTGACTCCTGGGGGCTCCACCTCAGAGATGTGGGTCAGCAATCACTCAGTGCAGTCAGCCCAAGATGGAGGGTTTGTGCTGTGTGCCCAAGCCAGGGGTTCCCTGTCTGCTGATGAGCCATGCGGGGGAGCGGGGGTGCGGAACCTGTGGGAGACGGACTGGCTGCCTCTCCTGGGGTCGACTGTAGCTTATTGGAGGTGTAGATAAGACACTCTTAGAGTCTTTGCTCTTTTGTTAGTTTGAGGGTGGCAAGGGCAGTTCCACTGCTGAGGTAGTGGGAGAGGCTTTCAGTTGCCCCTGGAGGCTCTGTTCAGGGAGTTGCTGAGTTGGTACTGGCTCCGTAGCTCTGGCAGTGGTGGCTGGAGGCCCAGGCCTGGAGGACCTGTCCAGTGAGGAGATATGGGAACAGGCACCCATGGAACAGTACGGCCACTTTTCCATAGGGCTGCTGTGGTATGCTTAGGGCCTGCTCCTGTCCCTAGTCACCTCAGATTTTCCAGAACCTGGAGGTGTCACCAGCGAAGGCTGAGAAACAGCAAAGATGGCAGCCTGTCCCTCCCTCTGGGAGCTTCGTCCCAGGGAGGTATGGACCTGGTGTTGAGCCAAAGGTACCTGTAGGAAGTGGCGGGAGACCCTGGTTGGGAAGTCCCAGCTGGTGAGGAGGAACGGGATTGGGACCCACTTAAAGCAGTCTGGCCACATTTTGGTAGAGCAGTTGTGCTGTGCTAGGGGTCCACTTCAGCCCCCGATCACCTCGGATACTATGAGGCCCAAAGGCTGGAACGACAAAGGCACCTGAACAGCAAAGATGGTGGCCCACCTCTCCCTCTGGGAGTGCCATCCCAGGGGAAATTCCGCGTCCATCTGTCAGATGGACAGCTTGGGCAGGGGTGGCTGGAGGCCCCACTTGGGAGGTTCTGCCCATTGAGGGAACGGGATAGGTACCTGCTTAAAGCAGCCGTCTGGCCACGTTTCAGTAGAGCAGCTATGCTGTACTGGGGGATCCCTTCTGCCCTGTGTTGGCTCAGACTCTCCAAAGCCTGAAGGCTGGAATGGCTAAGGTGCCCAAACAGCAAAGCTGGTGGCGTGTCCCTCTCCCTGGGAGCTCCTTCTGAGGGAGGTGCAATGCCACTACTGGAAGCTGGCTGAAATTCCAAGCCAGTGGGGTCTCATCTCGTGAGGTGCATTGGAAGTGGGGCCTGCGGGCTGTTGCTGCGCAGCCCCCTGGATTCATCATCTTTCCTAAGGGTATGTACGGGAGTCTCACCTCTCACTTTGCCAGAGCTACGGCTACTTTTGCTCCAAAGCCTGAGTAGCTAAGGCTCCAGGGTCTCCACGCATGCCTGAGCGGCTGCTCTGCCAAGACTCCCTGCAGCTCTGTCAAACTGAAGACGGAAGGCCCTGGTAGAGAGAGGTTTGTATGGAGATCTCCTAACCTGAGGTTTGCAGAGATCCATGGGAGAAGTGTGGTTTCTGGGTCGCCCATTCAGTCACTGCTTCCCTGGGCAGGGGAGGATCCCCTGGCTCCGTGTTGCCCCCTGGTGGGCTATCGTCCTGTCTTGCTTTGCTTTGTTCTCTGTGGTTCAAGTTGTTTCCTTGATTAGTCCCAGTGCGAGTACCTGGCTGTTTCAGTTGAAGGTGGTGTATTCACTTGCTCCTTCTGTTCCTCTCCATGAGAGCCAGGTACACCAGCTGCTTCTAGTCAGCCATCTTGGCCACTCACTCTCGTGTGTATTTATGCTCTGATTTCTGCAGAAGGGTGGATGGTGGGACAGGGGGACATGTGTATTTTTAATTTTAATAGATGCTTCCGTATTGCTCTCTAAAAAGGCTGTAATTTCTATTTCCCTACAACCAGCACATGAGAATATCCTCTCCCTATCTTGTGACTTCTGAAAGTTATGAAATGTTTCAGTTTCTGACTGGATATCAAGTTATACCCCATTGTTACCAATTTCTGTGAGCACTAGGGGATATGAGCATCTTTCCAGATATTACCTTGGCAATTTGTTTTTGCTGTTTTGTGTGCTGCTCATCTTTTGCTAGGTTTGTTACTAACTTTGGGCCCTTATTCTTGGTTAGTTTCTGAGGACTGTTTATACAGCATAGATGTCAACCATTTGTCATCTATGTTCCAGATATTTGAATCAGATAGAGCATTCATCTCTTGGCTTTGTTAGCCAGTCACTGAAGGATTAATAGAAGCAAACTGTGTTCCAGCAGGTCAAGTACAACCTCATTAGTTTGATAAGTTAAGCATCCCTTTGGAAGGGTCAGTGGGTGGCATGATATTGATGGGCATGGTACAATACATGCTTGTTGAAGACTGGTAGCTCACACATCAGCTGAATTTTGTATCTCTAGCTTTTCAGGGGTTCTTTAAGCAACAGGGAGGTATGCTCATATGTGTGCCTTATGCTCAGAAAAATAGCTCCATCACCAAGCAGCTGTAATCCACTCGACTGGGGTCTCTTCCTTATGGAAACTGGGTCCTGAAATTTGGTATCATTCTTTTTTTAGAAATCACGCCACCCTCAAAGCCTCATCCACCTGTCGTGGGCAAAGTGACTCATCACAGCATTGAATTATATTGGGATCTGGAAAAGAAAGCCAAACGCCAAGGACCTCAGGAGCAGTGGTTCAGGTTCTCGATTGAAGAAGAAGACCCCAAAATGCACTCTTACGGTATCATTTATACGTAGGTGCAGTGTTGAATTGCTTGCCACTTTGCCTTGACTTCTTGATTAGCTGGAATGATTTCTGTTGTCTTTAAAAAGCCACTGCTTATTTCAAATTAAAGAATGAGTCAGCATCATTTGTATTCATGCTCTTTTATGAATTACAATTTTTGGAAAATAGGCATTAGCAGTAACTTTGAAATTAAACCTCTGTACCTTTGAGAGCTTCTATGACTTCTGAAATATTTTAATGATATGTATTTAAAATCCAGAATGCAGAGACACACTCAAACGATAGCTTGATGAAATTAGGTGAGCTTCCCATCAGGCTGTTGTGTTCCCTGACGTAGGATGGCCCCGCATGGTCTGCCCTGGCCAACTTCTCTGATCTCATGTCATACCATTGTCCCCTTGTCAATTCTCTTATACCATGCTGGCTGCCTCTCAGCCTTGACAGGCCAAGCCAGTTCCCATAGCAGGGTCTTGCTTGTTGCTGTTGCCTTGAATACATTTCCTTCTGTTTTTATACAGCTGGTTCCTTCACACCGTGCCAGTCTCAGATGAAACAACCCCACGCCCCCAGAAGGCCATCTGAAGTAGCCATCCTTCCACGCAGGCCTCCTGTAGCTCAGAACCTTGTTTTGTATGCCACATAACATTTAGCTCTGTTGGGTTTGTTTTACTTGTTTACTTGTTTGCTGAGTTTGTTTACCTTGTTCCTTGTTTACTTCTTTTACTTGTTCCTTTCCTGCCTCCCCACCCAGTATTAAACTCGGCGAGAGACAAATAAGACTCCTGCCTGCTTAACGCTCTAGCCGGTTCCTTGACAGTGCTGGCTGTTCTATAGCAGGCCCTCCACATGCTTCTTGCATGAACAAATACCACCAGGAGTAACCAAGAAGTCATTTTTGGCCAGGCATGGTGGCTCATGCCTGTAATCTCAGCACTGTGGGAGGCTGAAGTGAGCAGATCCCTTGAACCTGGATGTTCAAGACCAGCCTAGGCACCATAGCAAAATCCCATCTCTACAAAAAATCCAAAAGTTAGCCAGGTGTGGTGGCTCTTATGCCTGTAGTCCCAACTATTTGGGAGGCTGAGGTGGGAGGATCACTTGAGCCTGGGAGGTGGAGGCTGCAGTGAGCCACGATTGTGCCACTGCACTCCAGCCTGGGTGACAGAGTGAGACTCTGTCTCAAAAAAAAAAAAAAAAAAGTTATGTTTTTCTTCTCACTCTTCATATCATCTCTGACTTATTTCTCCCCCTTGATAGATTTACCACTTGAAAAATGCAAAATGACTATTTTGTGATTCAGGAATATCAAAAATGAGATACAAATACGGTTTTTAGGTAAACTTTTAATTTTGAAATAATTATAGATTCATACCCAGCTGTAAGAAATAATACAGGGTGACTGTACCTTTTCCCATTTCCCTATGGTAACATCTTTGAATGCGATGGTGCAGCATCACAGTCAGGATACTGGCATTGATGCCGCCAAGATGCAGAACAGGCCCGTCACTTTCCTGGCCTTTTCTCAAGTTTGCATTGTGATAAAAACGCTGACATGAAGAGATAGATATGTTTGTGTATATGTGTATATAAAATATATATAAATATGTAATCTGTATATGAAGGCTGCAACTTCAACTGTTACCTCAGTGATAATGTATCTGATATTTGAGAAATTTCTCTGTACCTTAAAAAAAATAAGAAATGTAGTTAACCATGTAAAAATAGTTCTGTTCTAACTAGTCAAATATTGTTTTAATCATGTCGTTTTACTCATTGAAAGTATGCTTCTTCTATCTAAAAGTATGAATTGTAAGAAGCATTTCTCTGGAGAAAGAAAAAGGCATCTTTCTTTCCCCCATCACCTTAGCACCACAAGCTCTGCTTGGGCAGGCGAGTGGGGCCATCCTGAATCGTTCTTTCTTCATTGGCTGTTCCTTTCCTGGGTGGCCAGGTAGGCAGCCTCAGCTAGAGAAACCGCAGCTGCGTGTGCTGGCTTCCAGCCTGAGGTGTGTGTCTGTGTTGTCTGCATTCTTCCCAGAGACCTGGTTGCTGTCAGGCTGGAGAACGCACTCACACTCCAAAGACAACCTGGCATTGTGGGTCTGGCAGTGACATCTGTGGTCCCCGCTCTAAGGACAGTGGGGAAATGCCTGCATTTCTCGCAGAATTATACAGTACAAATCTTGACGCTAGGTGGCAGAATTAGGCTGTATTAATCTTGACCTCTTTTGCTTCCTTATTTGTTTCTCTGCATGGCCTTAAAACTAGCAAATGCTTTTCTTGTAAAAAGTGATTATCTGGAATACCTGATATTTGGATTGTGGATTTAAGAACCTCCTCTTGATTTGTCAGTTTCTGTTCCCATCAGTCATCAGTCTATCTGGAATCAATGACATTGTCTTTGACTTGGGCTTTCCTCCATGGCTTCTCACAGCCAGTCAGTTACCGAGTTCTCCATTTGTAGAATTGCGTCTGTGCTTTCCCTCATTAGCTGGGGGTTTCCCCTGCAGGATGTAAGCTCCATTGCCCTCTAGCTCATTTGTGGATCTGCAGCTCCTACACCTGCCCAGTGTATTTTCTCATGGAAGGAGTTGACTTTATTCCTTTTTTTTTTCCCCTCATCATTTTATCTTGCCGGACTAATTTCCATTTTAATCTTTCTTTTGTCAAATTGTCTTTTGTGGGTCTCCATTGCTTGAAGGATAAAGACCAAATTCCTTAGACTAACATTTAATGCCTTTCACAGCTTCCCCACACCTGCCTTTCTTGTTGCCTCTTATTTCTCAGCACAAATCCTCCAATCAGATTTCCTACTGTCCTTTGAATATGCCTTGATGTTTTCTGCATGTGTGTTCAGTTTTTTTTTTTCCCTGTATGGACAGATTTTCCCCTCTCACCCTATTCTTTCTTCTGCCCTGGTCAAATTTTACCTCCACTGAGAAGTTCTCCTTACTACCCTACATTGTCTGTGCCCTAAATTCCTGTGATCATTGCTGCCCATGCCCTGCATTAAATTTATTCCATCAGTGTGTATTATTGAGTGTCTGCCATGTGTCAGACACTGCTCCGGATGCTGGGGATATGGCACTGGGGAAAAAATTCCTCCCTCGTGATGAGGAAGGCAAACAATAAATAAAATACATAAGTAAAAATAGGTAGTCAGCAGGCAATATGTACTAAGGGGCAGCAGCACAGGAAAAATTGAGGGCCTGGGGTAGAGGTGGGGAAGTCTTCACTAAGAAGGTAACTTCTGAGTAGGTCTGAAGCAAGGATACCTGGAGCCTTGCCACTATCGGGGGGAAGAAACTCACAGACAGAGCAAAGGGCAGGTGAGAAAGCCTGGTGGTGCAAGTGTACCTGGCGGGTCCCAGGAGCGTTGAGGAGCAGAGGGAACAAGGAGGAAAGTAATGGGGGTGAGGGCAGCTGGGTCATGAGAGGTCACTGCCTGGGCCTTGAAGGTTATTGGGAGAACTCTGGCTTACTCTGAGAGAGGCGGGGAAAGCCACTGGAGGTTGTGAAGCTGAGAAGAGGCGTGATCTGGCTTGTGTTTTACAAGGATCCCTCTGGTTGCTGAGTTGGGAACAGGCCGTAGGGTGGCCAGGCAGCAAGCAGCAGGGAGGACTGACGGGGAAGCTTTTGAAACAGTTTAGGTGGGAGACAGCACAACGGTGGAAAGTGGGACGATGCAGGATATGCTTTAAAGATGGATTTAAGAACTTGCTGGTGGACTGGATGTGGGATGTGAGAGAGAGAGAGAGGATGGTCAAGGGATATGTGACAGCCAGCACAGGCCAAGTGATGCTGCCTGAAGCATAAGTGTCACAGTCTCAGTGGCTTATGGCAGCAGCAATTCCCTCCCACACACCATGCCCACCGTGGCTGGGCCAGGGCTCCATCCTGCATTGTCCTCCTCCTGCAGCCCAGGCCAATGCAGCAGCCTCTGCCTGAACATTGTCAGTCACTGTAGCAGGGGAGGGAGCATGGCACGCTGTTTCTTGAAGCTTCCACCCAGAATGACATACTTCACTTCTGCGTCTACTTCATTGCTGAAAGCAAGACATGCAGCCATGTCTGAGTTCAGTAGGGCGAGGAGGTAGGATCCCTGGGGGAGGGCACCTCGTGTCTAAACAACAATCCAGCCTTTCACAGGAGGCACCCAGGGTTTGGCCTGAGCAACTATAATAACAGAGACGGGGAAGACTGTGGGTGGAGTAGAAGATCAGTTTGAAACTATCAGACATCCAAGCCAAGATGTCAAGGAGGCAGTTGGGGATGTCAAGGGCCAGGGAAAGGGGTCTGGGTTGGAGAGACAGACTCCAGAGTCATCAGCATGAGGCTGGATTGGAGTTCTGAAGGAGGGAGTGGAGAGAAGAAAGGGAAGTCTGGTAACTGAGTCTTTGGGCTTTTCAATATTTAGCTTCTTATGTTTCATATTTGCTCAGCTCTTGCATCAAACATTTGCTTGTTGACTGATAACAAAAACAAGGCTATGCTTCACATTTTTGTAGACTTTCCTCTACTGTGGAAATAGTTCTAAGATTCATTTATTTTTTCAGCTGTCATGTCTAGGTAAAGTTGCGCTTCTCCATGGATTCAATGAACTGCTCTTGTGAGTCCTCTCTGTGCCTGCATTGTCATCACTGTAGAGTACCCTGGGGGGCAGTTGTGTCCTGGGTCCCTGCTGTGTCTTTTGTCCTCTTTGGAGCCATCTCTAGTGATGCAAGAGTCTTCAGCCTTTCACAAGTGTGCTCGGTAACATCTGGTTTCTAACACAGTTGCGTTATTTCCCTTTCCAGGGGTTATGGAGGTACTATTTGCTTCAGGGTGACCTTACGATATTTAGCAATATTGGATTTTATTGGGACCACTTCTGGTTTGGTTTTGGTCTAATACTATGCTAAGTCTCTGACACCTTGCACTGAATTCTGGTGAGGCTTGGCCATTAGGTTCTCATTGAACTTCTTTTTTTTGTTTTGTTTTGTTTTTTGTTTTTGTTTTTTTTGTTTTTTGTTTTTTTTTTCTTGAGACGGAGTCTCACTGTGTCGCCCAGGCTGGAGTGCAGTGGCGCGATCTCGGCTCACTGCAAGCTCCGCCTCCTGGGTTCACACCGTTCTCCTGCCTCAGCCTCCCAAGTAGCTGGGACTACAGGCGCCCGCCACCTTGCCCGGCTACTAGTTTTTTTGTATTTTTAGTAGAGACGGGGTTTTACCATGTTAGCCAGGATGGTCTCGATCTCCTGACCTCATGATCCACCCGCCTCAGCCTCCCAAAGTGCTGGGATTACAGGCAAAGGTCTTTTCAGATGCCACACATTGTTGAGGGCTCAGTTTCTGTGACCCAAATATCTAAGTATTCATGGACGTATTTTCATTTAACATCAAAATCTACCTACTCATAAGACTCCTTTGTGCCAGGCTGATACATTTCAGTTTTAAAAAAATTATTACTTTTTAGCTCTGGCGGTTTTTCTGAATATTTATCTTGGTTTTAGAGCTTTTACTTTTATGGTAAATGTATTTATATCGATTTTTAACACTTATCTACTTCTCGGTTTCTTGATGGAAAAGTTTTTGTAATGCCGTTGGCTTTGTTTCTTCATTGTCTTTCCTGCAGTTTCTTTTTTGTTGATACATACTATCTCAGTTACCTGCTGCATAACGAACCAGCCCCAGACTGAGCGGCTTGCAGCAGAAACAGTCATGTGTTTGCTGATGATCTGTAATTTGGCTAGAGTGTTGATGGCTTGTTTCTGCGCCATGTGGTCTTGACTGTTGCAGCTCTCTTGGGGCTGGAAGAACCAAATGGCTTCACCCATGTGAGATGCATCAGCTGGGACGACCAGGACAATAGGGGGCTGGCTGGGCTTCTTCATCTCCTTTGTGGTCTGGATCTTCCACTGACTCTGTCTTACTAGGTGGCCTCTTTCTCCAACAGGAAAGTTGAACTTCTTTACGTCGTGGCCAGCTTCCAAGCAAGCAGAAGCAGAAACTTCCGGGAATCTTAAGACCCAGAGCCAGAGCTGTACTGATTCACTTCCACCACTTTCCGTCCTGTTCAAGGGAGAGGAACTCGACTTAACTCTGTGGGGAGAGGAGCATGTTCCTGCAGGGATGGTAGAGACTGGAGGCCAGCTTGACTTCCAGCTCATTTGGCTTCTTTTAGGTGAAGAGAAATGTGTTTCTAGCAAAGATGATGTCGGTTAGGAGGCTGAATCCACCAGCGCACAGAGCAGGGAGGCAGAGACACGTACGTGGTCAGAGGTGCTTTAATGTGCTTAGTCTTTTTCTTGGTTCTGCTGGTGCTACACCCAAGAAGTCGTTTAGATTTGGTGCCTTAAGTAACTTTGTGAGGCAAAAACAGGATCAATGAACGTTCAGTATTTGATTTTACCTTGAAATTTCACATTTTAACAAAGGACAGAAACATCAAGTGAAGAAGGTCTTTGTAAATGTTTTTCAGTTTTCAAAAAAAGATTGTTAGATGTTAGAGTTAGAGTTATGGTATTAGCGTTGTCTCCAGATTTCACGGAGGCACCTCTTTCCTGGACGTGCCAGACTCTTGTGCACCCTGACTCGCCACCGTGAGAGCACCTCGAACCTGACTTTCCCAGGCGCTGTGTGTTCTTTCCACCCTGCTGGGAAGTCCTTTCTCAGACCGCCTGGACGACATCTCCTGTCTGTCATGGAAGTCCTTTATGCCGTTTCTCACTTGACATCAGAGATACCTCTACCAGAGGACACTCTCCTGGCACCTCACTCCCTCTGCCCTGTACCTGTTCCTCAAGTACCTGTTCCTGCCCCATGCCTGCTCCTCAGTGGGGGAATTACTTGTGTGATGGATGAGTTTGGCGGAAGGAACTGAGAAGACCTTCTGGGTTCTCCTTTGGGAATAGTCCTCCCTCTAGGGCAAGTGTTGGGTCTGTTCTTCAGCCCTACACTTAGTGCTGCGCCTCATCCTTCGGGGGAAAGAATCCGGTGGGGGCTGGGAGTGGGCGGGCAAGGCTGTCTGATGATTAGGTGAGGTGTTAGCTCACTCACGTGGCCCAGATCTGAAGGCAGGTTTTCAGGTGTTTATTAGTGATACTAACTCCAGCACTGTCATTTCACCCTTGCTCAGCTGTCCTTTCTTCACAGTCCTTGACTGCCCCTCTTCTTGCTACCCCATCAGTAGGAAGTTGGGTTCAACTTAGTGTTGACAGGTTCATTTTGGCCCTGAGCTGGTGCAGGGCTGCATCCCAGCCTGTTCCAACACCTTGCAAATAATGGGCGCTAGATACACTAGATACACTTGTTGAGTTGTGTGGAATGGAATCGATGTATAAATATTTAGTTGCACATAAACATCCTTGAAAAATTAGTTGTGAATCCCAAAGAATAGTTGTGGTATCTTTGGAGGATCTATTGAGAATAAAAGTAAAAACTAGAGACAGGAAAAAAAATCTGGAGGGAAACAATGGTAACCTTGGCATCTAAGGAGCTATGGAGAATGATCCAAGAGAGGAGAAGAAGAACTGGATTAAGTGTTGAAGCAGGAAAGAAGTAAGAGCTGGAAATGACACACACACCCCTCTCGAAAACCAAGCCTTTGAGTAGAAGAAAAGAAAAATTTTGAGATAGGATTTGAAAAGGGATACATGGAGTTTAGTCAGATAAGAAGAATGTTGGCAGAACGGAGAAATGGGTAACAGAGGTTTTGGGTAATATTGGGAAATATGTACAGCTCTGTCAACTTTTGGAGACCTGATATTGTAGAATGCATGCCACTCAAAGCCAGGCTCCTGGGACCTGCCTCACAAGCAGAGGGTGGGGTCCTATCTTAGCACTTGCGCTGGGTCCCAGCATCTTCTGAGCAGCCAGGCAAACTGCCTAGCTGCATTTCTTGGTGCTCATTTTGCAGGCTGCAAATGTTTAGACTCAGTCCTGCTTCCCTCTGGAGGTGTGTGGATTTCCATCGTGAGTCTTTCATCAGATTTCTCTCCCAGAAGTGCTCAGCATCCATTTCCCACAAACATTCCTAAGATGAACTTGACCATGGGGCATGATGTTAGCATTGTTTCTGTGTGCTGCCTGAGCTCCCAGCTCTACTGGAAGTTGCTCATGGGCTGCGAGCAATCTTGCATGTGACTTCTTCAGGTCCTTTCCCTGCAGTGGTATTTTGCCTGCAATAGTTATGCAGCCATGTATTAGCCTCACAGCCCCCACCACTAGATGGCCCCCACTTGAAAATTACATATATACAATTTGACTGCCTGTCTTATCTTTCAAACATAAAACTTTGTCACTTGAGGACAAATGTCACAGTTAACGTGATTATTTCTCCAAAGTACAAAACGGCATGCTGGCTATGTGTCAGGTCCCAGACTAGGCCCTATGGGACAGAGGGCACCTGCTGGGTAGGGATAGAGGTGCCATGTGGGACTTGTCCTTCATTCTCTAGGAGTTCAGCAAAGCAGGATCCATCAGCTGTGTCCTGGAAATAGAAGGAACATCACTTCCACCTGCTCTTCTCGTGTCTTATCAGAGAGTGCAGATTAAGCTACCTGGTGTTGTCAGCATGTTTGTCTCCTCCTGTCTAGGGGATATGCAACGAAGCATGTTGTTGAAGGTCTGGAACCAAGGACGCTGTACAGATTTCGCCTGAAGGTCACCAGCCCCTCTGGGGAGTGTGAGTACAGCCCACTCGTCTCAGTGTCTACGACCAGTGAGTATTCAGCCTCTCCACGCTCACCTGTCTCTAGATCAATGGAGATGACAAGCAATTTAGAGATGAAAATATTGTGCCTCTTGTTCGGCCTTACCAGAAGCAGGAATGATACCATTTTTATTTATTTATTTATTTATTGAGACGGAGTCTCGCTCTGTCGCCCAGGCTGGAGTGCAGTGGCCGGATCTCAGCTCACTACAAGCTCCACCTCCCAGGTTCACGCCATTCTCCTGCCTCAGCCTCCCGAGTAGCTGGGACTACAGGCGCCCGCCACCTCGCCCGGCTAGTTTTTTGTATTTTTTTTTAGTAGAGATGGGGTTTCACCGTGTTAGCCAGGATAGTCTTGATCTCCTGACCTCGTAATCCGCCCGTCTCGGCCTCCCAAAGTGCTGGGATTACAGGCTTGAGCCACCGCGCCCGGCAATGATACCATTTTTAAACACTGCAACAGTATTTACTAGTTGGGCCTTTGCCATAACTTGTAATGTCAGGGAAGTCTAATTCTGCTTTCACAAACTGGGAGATCTATTTTTGTGCCAAAACTGTCCTGTCAGTAGCCATTCAGCACAAAAGGGTAGAGTCACCTTTCTTAGGAAATGGGCCACAGGGATGTGGGCTGGGTAAGCCTAAGCGTCCCCATGCAGCAAAGCAGGCCGCCTGCCTGAGCGTCCTCGGACGAGCAGCTCCATCCAGCGTCTTGTCCATTTTAGACAACCCCAGGGTGTGCGTCTTAACTCGCCACACAAACCCGATTCCTGGGGTCATGGTGAGTGAGGGAGAACGAACAGTGCTGCTGCATCCATGGAGAACCCCGCAAGGGAGAGCCCCACATGGAGACCTCTGAGCCCTTCAGCCAGCTGAGTTTTAAGGTTGTTTCTGAGGTTGGTATTTTAAAGCATTTTAAAGATGCTGTGTCCAGGACCATCTCTGAGCAAGAACATTGTAAAAATTAGGATGGTCACAAGTGTTCTCCACGGCCCACCCACTGAAAACACAGGGGAGTAATTTTTCAGCTGCACGAAGGAAGCCTTCCTTTGCGAGCAAAGCTGTTTTTCCGTTTCAGTCCAGGTAGCATTTGGCTTGGAGGTATGTGCTTTCTGTGGCTTTCAGCTGTGTCCTTTAGGCATTTCTTCATGACAATTTTTGTGTAGACTAAAGTTAACTCAGCTTTTGAGCTGCGGTACCTTCAGTTGCAGACCTGGCATTAGGGGACAGGATCTGAGTTTAGCAAACTGGGAGTTTAACTGTGAAAAACACAATTTCAGAGGAGACTTCTGATGTGAAATGGTCAACTCTGGGGATTCAGGTTAAGAAAGAGGGCTTGTTCCTTCATCCGGCAGTGCTGAGAACATTTGCTGTCATATGGAACGTACTTACCTCTCGGGTTCTTACGAGAAAGCGAAGACGGCAGAACGTGAGCTCTGTGTGCTGAAGGAAGGCAGAGGGCGTGCAGGAGAAGGGGTAGGAGGAAGAGGTGGCAAAGGGAGCCAGGCGTATGAACAGAGACTCTCCGGGCAACCCCAGCCAGGACGCCGTCCCAGGCTACCTTTCTGTTCCCTCCCATCCTCTTGCTGTCCCCACCGCCCACAGGCCTTCTGCCACTCCGCAGACCCCCACCTCTGCCCTCCTCCCTGGAGCACTCACTTCATTGCTGTGCTCACTGAGTCTGCTCCATGGGCAAGCACGTGGGGGCGATGCCTCGTGTAGCTTTCCCCTCCTCTGTCACATGCTCGCCCTCCTCCCCAGGTACAGAGCAGTATTCCCCACCTCTGTGAACACTTCTTGCATCTTCTCTTAAGTGTTTGTCTACCTTTTGGTCTCCCACCTACATTGCGGGCTCCAAAAGGGTGGGTGATGGGTTGGCCATCTTCAGCTTGTGGGAGATCCTTAATAAATAAGTCAGTGTGTGTGCCTGTGGCCCGGACAGGAGGATCGCTTGAGCCCAGGAGTTCAAGGCTGCAGTGAGCTATGGTGGCACCACTGAACTCTCCGGCCTGGACAATAGAGCAGGACCCTTTCTCTAAAAAAAGATCATGGATGGATGGGTGAAAATTAAGGACCAGTGGCAGAATTAAGAGTATGAAAAGAAACACTGATTTTCTCAGGTTTCATTTACGTTTGTTGGGAGATGTATTAGTTTTCCGCTGGCCAGTGAGAGTTCACCCGAACCTTCCACGTGAGGGTGAATATGGTTGGTTCTGCAGCCTTCCATGGTGGGCTTCAGGTGGTCTCTAGCATCCTCTTAATAGCACATCAAAGCCAGGGCAGGGGCTTTTGGCCCTCCTGGCCTGAGTTTACATGGGGTTGGCATACCATTTGGAGCTCTTTTAGGAAGGGCTGTTTATTAGTGTGTTCTTATGCTACTAATAAAGACATACTTGAGGCTGGGTAATTTATAAAGGAAGAGGTTTAATGGACTCACAGTTCCACATGGCTGGGAAGACCTCATAACCATGGTGGAAGGTAAAGAAGAAGGAAAGGCATGTCTTCATGGTGGCAGGCAAGAGAGAGCATGTGCAGGGGAATTTCCCTTTATAATACCATCAGATCTTATGAAGACTTAATTCACTATCATGAGAACCGCATGGGAAAGACCCGCCCCCATGATTCAATTACGTCCCACCAGGTCCCTCTCATGACACATGGGAATTACGAGAGCTACAATTCAAGATGAGATTTGGGTGGGGACACAGCCAAACCGTATCAGACTGTGCCTGTGGGCCAGATGTGCCTTCTTCCCACTGAGCTGGCTCCAGAGGCAGCCATGGAGAGCTGGTGCAAGGTGTCTGACCTTATAGCCCCATGGTTTCCATGACTAATTAGATGAGGCCTCCTGCAAGGATGAGTGTGTGGTGGTGACCGGGGTGTGTGTGTGTGTGTGTGTGTGTGTGTGTGTGTGTTGGGGGAGTGATCCTGGCCATTTCACTGCCAGATAATAGCATCACTGCCTGCAGCCAGGAAGCCTTCTCAGCCCCAGGAGGCTGGACTGGTTGGTGAGGATCAGGTGTCCTCCTCCTCCTAGCTGGGGAAGGCTCTTGGCTCTGCGGGCTGGCTGCAGTTCCCTTATGCTATTGTTATATATTTATAATATCCAAAGCAGATTCTCCTAAGGAGGCAGATCATGCTAAACAAAGAACTGAAAATGTGCACATGATACAGAGCAAGTGCAAATGCTTCTGTGTGGTGATAATTTGCATTCAGTTTGAGAGTGTTTTAATGAATCACAGAGGCATGCACTTTGTTTGAATAAAGAATGCACAGCTTTTTTTTTTCCCCCAGGTAAAGTACACGAGATTCTTGCTTAAATGAGGCATACAATTTTAATCAGTTGGGCCCTTATAAAGAAAGAAAAACAGCTGCTACTTGTTAATTGGCAAATATCTTCTCCAATGAGCTCGTGATTTATTCACTGCTTTTAATAAAGACTTAAAATTCCACCAAGAAAGGTGTTATCACCATATTATAATATCTGCAGGTACATCTGCAGCTAAATAACCCTCTTAAAGAATATGAACGATGGCTTCCTCAAGACCACTCTGCCCTGCTCTGCCCTTCTCATCAGTGTCCCCGCTCACCTGGGTCTGACTGGTGAGTTCCATCCTGCTCAGATGAACGCATGGGCTTACATCCTCACCATAGGCAGGATCAGTTTGATATTTGCAATTGCAACACTCAGGGTAAACACTAGAAAAACAAACCTGCAGAGCAACAGCCGGCCTTTTAAAAATATTCAGTTGCACTTATTGATGGCATTCCCTTGGGCCAGGCCCACAAAGTCTTGAAGGATTCAGGGGTGGGAGGAACGGAACATTCTGTTCACCCTGGAATTTCCTCTCTGTTCCTCAGGACTCCTGCCTATAGTGGGAGTAGGAAGAATTGCTGTGCACTGCAAACAAGGGTCTTTTCTTTTTCTGTTTCTTTGTCAAATTCATGTAAATGGAGATGTTTTTGTGCCTCTGTTGCTTCACACAGGTTCCAGTGTAATCCTCAGTCCCTCCTTTCACTCTTGGTAGTAGCGTGAGGACAGTTGAGGAGTTAACGCTGAGAAAGCGCTCTCACACCCTGCAACGGTGGTCACTGCTCAGCAAGCAAGGACTGAGCAACAATTATGTCGATTCCCCTCTCTTCTGTGAGGTGTCCCTTTGTTCTCAGAGTAAGCTGCGAAGTGCTCATTACCTCCTGTGGAAGCTGGAATTGGCATTACATTTATTATATCCTGATACTGAAAGCCCTGGTCTTTGCTACAGGCGGTCCTCTAGCTTATAAGCATGCAGTGAACTTGTTTCATTTTCCAACCTTTGCATGCTGCAGAGCTTCCTGGTTAGGATGTGCTAGGAAGTGTCCCCCCGGGAGAGCCTTGCTGTTCGGTAAGATGGAGGCTGTGGAGTAGATGGGGTCGGTGCAGAGACGTGGTTGGGGGTGCGCCCTTAGAACTTTCCCTAACATCTCAAGCAGGTAGCGCTTTTTGGAAGATTTTTAGGCATCCCCTTTCTTTTAACACTGGGGGAGGATCACATTTACTTAAGATGTTCATCTGTCTGCAGAATTTAGTAAGAGTGGAAGCATATAGTGAATTGGTCGGTACTACAGCATTTACTAAATACTAAAGGGAACGAGTGGGCCTCATGGAAGACTTGGCCTTGGCTCTGATGCTGCTCTCTCCTAACTGGGCGACCTTGCACAACTTAGCCTTTCTGACTCCCAGTCTGATGGTTTGGAGGAGAATTTTAAAAGCACTGTGTAAAAAGCCTACATACAGCTTAATTCATAGGATTTGATTTAGGATACTACACATTGTACAACTTAGTAGAAATAGAATGAGCTTTATATGTTGTTATAAGTGATTTATCCAAATGACTTGCTTTTATGTTTTAGTGGCAGCTGAAGTTTGAGATTAGGAGAACATGGGGCCTATTAATGGGATAACAAAGACTTTTATAAACATACCACTCTCTTCTGGTTAGCAACAGAAAGGGAAACAGTCTATGGGTTTAGTTCATCCATCTAAAGTGTAGATGAAACACATGATGATTTTAAGTCCTTATTAATCTAGCCCAGGGTTCTCAACTTTGGTACTACTGACCTTTGGGGACTGGATGGTTCCTTGTTGTGGGGGGCTGTCCTGCACACCAGGGATGCTTCGCAGCTTCCTTGGCCTCTATCCTCTAGATGCCAGTGCACCATCTCCTTAGTTGTGGCACCCAAAGATGTCACCAGACATTGCCAGATGTCCTCTGGGGTATAAAACCCTGCCTCCTTCCTAAGCCCTACTAGTGAAACCACTGGGCACAGCATGACCTGCCTTAGAAGGCCAGGGACAGCTGTGAGCCTTGGCCTTTGACAGGTTATTGTGCGACTTTTATTTGACACTTTTGATCTAAAAATTGTATGTAATGATGGAAGTATAATGTAGCTAAAAAAAAATCTGTAAGCGATTGGCAAGCTCTAGCAGACAAAATTGCTATTTCAAAATAATTTAAACTTGGCATAAATTTATTTTTACGAAAGAAAGGAAAAGGTATCGGCTAAAGATCATTCTGGGAGAAATCCCTTTATTCTCCTGTCTCACTGTTTTCCCAGTTTGTACATTGCCCAACTCACTTTGCACCACTGAAACCCTCCAAGGAAACTCAAAGAAAAAGTGGCTCCTAGGCCCAGGAACTGGCATCCCAGAGAGATTTTCTACCATAAGGAGCAGGAAGAGGGAGGCAAGCTGATCTCTCTGGGCCGGACTAGAAGAGGGGAGGGTGGGTGAGCCCCAGGAGGCAGTGTAGGGTACAGTGGGGGAGGATGGGTTAAGAGGAGGGAGGGTGGGTGAGCCCCAGGAGGCAGTGTAGGGTACAGTGGGGGAGGAGGGAGGGTGGGTGAGCCCCAGGAGGCAGTGTAGGGTACAGTGGGGGAGGGTGGGTGAGCCCCAGGAGGCAGTGTAGGGTACAGTGGGGGAGGATGGGGCAGCAGTGGATATTTTCTTTCAGGTTTAGAATAATAACGGGCTGAAAGCGGGCACTACAGTGGAAGGGAGCATGGGAGCTAATGGTTAGCTCTTTTCATGCTAACCCTCCAGAGCCTAGCACAGGACTTGGTATGTACATTACTTAGGTTTGTTGAATGAATGAATGAGACCTTTGAGGTTATTTAGACCAGGGATTATAAACTCAAACGCTTGCCACGCGTGGGTGAGGGGCTGGGCGTACATTTGGAGAATTTAAGAGGCGGTGGGGCTGTATCCACTCACGATGGCAGCTGCTGCTACTGTCACCCCAACAACAGGCGTGTGCTGGGTACTTACGATGTGCCAGGTGCTATTCCAAGTGCTACACTGGTATTATTTCATTTAAGCCTAATTGTGATCCTTTTTAAAATTAGAAGGTGTAGAATAAGGAACAAATGAAACCAGAAACTCCTAGAAAGATGGGCGGCTTCTCCTAGCCCTTTACTCTCCCTCTATTTGTGCTGCCCGCCTGCCTGTTGGCTTTGCTGTGGAGCTGATGTCCCCTGTACAGAGGATGCCCTCCCCGACTGTGGCCCATTGTTCTTTTAGGCTTCTGGACTCCTGGGTCTGCTCCGCTTGGCAAGCTCTCTCCCCTAATTGAGTTTTCTCCTGGTGCTCCCCACCTCCCTGTGGGTAGAAGCCCCCTGACCCCACAAGCTCAGAGAAGACAAGGCCAACATGTATGTCACATTCCTGGGAAGAATTGAAAATTTTAATTTCAAATGTTAAAGCACTTTATCCTTTTTTTTTTTTTTTTTTTTTCTCCAAAATAGTTTAACATCTCTTTGGCCAATGAAACTAGCATGTTGTGACAGTTGCTGAGGTTTTCCTTGCTTGTAGGAGACATTTATTAGGTCTTATGAAATCTGAAAGGATTATTTCCAAATATCAAAATAACATTCACAAAGCAATACTTTATAACTTGAAAATGTCCCAAGCCTTTAGGTCAGTCAAAATGTTCTCTTAATATGTGAAAACCAGCTGGCTTCTGAAGGTGCAGAAGAAACGGTTGCAAAGAGCCGTCTTGGATGCTGTGTTAACATGTGAAAACAAGGTCTTTTTCGGTAAAAGAAGCAGTTGAGTAGGAAATGTAAGATATACTTACAGAAATAGCCAAGCGCCTTCCTGGAGATGATCCCCCGAAGGCCACAGGAGGAAGATGGGGGGGAAGGAGTCTCCTTTCTTGATGTTCTGGATGATTGCCTTCCATCTCGTTTCTCCAGGAGAGCCCATAAGTAGCGAGCACTTGCATCGGGCTGTTAATGTGAATGATGAAGATTTGCTTGTCCGAATACTTCAAGGAGGGTGAGAGAACTCTGTCAGTCTCTTTTTTTTCCCCCATGCCTATAAAGTGCATAGAAATACATGCAGTAGCTTCATTTTGTTTTCCTAAAAATTCCTATGCCTTTGAAACTGCCTCCAAAATGGATCTCAGGTGACTGGTGTGAGTTAATAAACCATAGTTAATAAAGATGCTCGTGAAGCCCCATGTAAATGTTATATTTTGTAATCGTGTAATAGAAATTGTAAAAGGAAATTACAAGGCTGGGTATCATATTTTCTTTCCAGAAATGATTTCTGTATCTTGCTTATAAGCCACAGCATTTAGACAAATTTCACCCCCAGATGCCCATGTCTAATTTCTGATGAAACGAGGGAATCGCCAAATCAACTGCTTTCTAATTTAAAAGGTTGATATAACACTAGAGGGAAAATGGTGAATATTGCTGCTGCAGATGAGACGTTTGAAGCTGCCTCCTACATGAAAAGTAGATGATGTTACCTAGGTTCTTTTTGAATCAATAGTTTTGAGTGCCCTAGAAGACAAGTCATTTGTGAATTATGGCTCTATGATTTGGAGCTCTTAAGAGAAGGTTCCCACAAAAAGCCAAAGCTGCTGTGCTGGAGAATGTGCGTGAAGACCTCCGCTTTCTTCCCTGAACAGTACTGTTCTCTACCCAGTAGGTGAGATGGGAGGCAAGGAGAAAGCTCGAGTCTCCACCAATACAAACTCATGTTCGGTGGAGCTGAGAGTCAGCAGTGAAGATACTGTCCTCAGCTATCTTAAAGAGCTGTGTTCATCTAAGAGTGCTACGTCTGACGGCACGATGGCTTTGAGCTAAAGTGTGCATATTTTAAGTGAAATTACAGCAGTTTTCTCTTTTATTATGCAATTGAATCTCGTAGAATATTAGGCATATAGTTTAGAAGATCCTTAGCAGTCTAAGACAAGAAAAGATTTAATGGCCCCAAAGAAATTGGAATTTTCAGTAAAACGAGCCATTTTAGCCACCTGAGCCCCACGAGAACCACTGGCTTTGACTCTGCAGTAGCTGTACTGAGCATGCTCATCTCTTTTCTCTGTCTTTCCCAAGCCATGTTAAGGTTGATGTTCCCAATAAGTTTGGCTTTACCGCTCTGATGGTTGCTGCCCAGAAAGGATACACCAGGTATGACTCTTCTTCTTCTTCTTCTTTGTTTTTTAAATCTTGGGGATTTAACTTTTTGTTTTATTCAGAGACTCTGGTCAGGATAAGGATGGGAGGAAAAAGGGCCATGGAGGAACCCAGTTTCTTTTCTGTCTCCCAAACCGTCCGTACCATGCGATGACTTGGAAATCCCGCTGTTGTAATCATAAAGTTATACAATATGCAGGAGAGAATGTAAATCATAAAGTTATACAATATGCAGGAGAGAATGTAAATCATATGTTGAGGAAGAGGGGTAGCCATTTAATTACATGCAATATATTTTTAAGTTCTTGGAAAACTGGTTATTGGAATTTGAATTTTTCTTTTTAAAAAATAGAGGGATATTCTGGAAAACTTTCTGCTAGGTTGCTAAGATATACTTTTCACAGATATACCCTCATTATCTATTCCACGCAGAGATAAGTATTAATAGAAATACCTTATTTTCATTTATATCTTAATTAAATGCCATTTGAAAAAAACATAAATGCCTTTTCATTAAATGCTGCCATTTAAGAATATATTAAAAAATGGCCATTCAAAGGACAGTGAATTATTTTGGTAGCCCAATTTGTTTCACGTGCTTTCATTTGATTTTAGTGAATAACTTGTGTGAAAGGGAAAAGCCTATGTTTTTGGAATGAGGAGGTGGTTTTCTGGTTTAATGGATGGTGCCTGGTGTGAAAACCAGCTGGCTTCTGAAGGTGCAGAAGAAACTGTTGCACAGAGGCATCTTGGATGCTGTGTTAATCTTTTTCGACTGGACTATTGTGGGTGCTGAGTGATCGAAGTGACTTATCTAGCTACAGTTCAGTTTGTTTCCTTTAGGCTTGTGAAAATCCTAGTTTCTAATGGCACAGACGTGAATCTGAAGAATGGAAGTGGCAAGGACAGGTAGGAGGTGGGATATGACTGAAAATGTGCTGATGTTCTCAGAACTGTGTTGCTGGGCTTGTGCCCAGAGGCACTATGATTTCACCCAAACATATTCTCGAGTTTCTTTTGACAGTCCTGAGAGGTGAGTGGGTCCCCGAGGAAAGATGGCGATCACAAAAGCTGGCTTGCTCACATGGTCTTGTGCTTTCACTCACCAGGGTGCTTGTGGGGGGCGGGCATCTGTTGTAATGTATGGTGACTTCTCTGGCGTGGTGGCCGTGCCCAGTGGACACGCAGTGCACGGGAAACAGCAGCTACAGAGCAGCTCTGGCTAGCCGCGCGGCGCGTGGGTACAAGCGCCTGCCCCCGGCACCCCGTGCCTCTCTCAGGCCCCCGCTGCATTTCAGCCTCACTCTTTGCTAAGAAATCTTCGTTGTTTCTAAAGAAGCAGACAGAAATCACCACCAGAGAGACGCCCAGAGCACTTTCCTGAGGTGAGAGGCACATGTTCCCTTGGAGGGCTGAGAACGCTACAGGAAAAGCTCAGGGGAAGAATGTGACACACATCAAGGGCAGATGAGTGTTCCTGAAAGACCTAAACACACTCGCTCATCTAGTCATTAGAGTTAATCAATTGATTTCAGCTAACCCGTGTTTATTGACTGATTACTACTTGCCAGGCGCTGTGCTTGGTGCATGGGTGAAACACTGAGCAAAATGCCAGGCCCTGGCTTCAGGGGCTGCGGTCACGACACACATGGAACCGGGGCTTGGGCACTGCAGACTGCATCGACGGACAGCTGCCAAACACTGACCTTCTGGGGCAGGCCGTAAAGAAAACCCCAACTAACTCCTCAAATCAGAAGGACTATCTTCTACATTTACATTCTCTGAACACAATGCAGCAATAGATTTTAAATAACAATATCTTAAATATCACTTATAAATTTAAGAAGTATTTTTCCAAATAACTCATAGGTTGAGACTAAGCTGTCAACTCCAGGTTTGAAAAGAATAACAGCAATCTGAAAAGGGAAAAGAAAAAAAGTATAAGGAGAGTAGGAAAAATGAAAGAATTAAAAGTAGACATTGATTAAAAAGTAGAAAGATTATTGAGAAATGTAAGAGCTTTCTGTTTAAGAGGCAACTATCTAGTAAGATACACCGATCTTTTGTAAATCTAAGAAAGAAGAAAAATAATTAGAAGTTTGAAAGAGGACAATAACGATGATTATAGAGAAAATGTAAACATGAAAAGAAGTTTGTGTCTATAATAGTAGATAATGTCATTGAAATGGATACTTTGTTCTGAGAAAATTTAAACCACCATGTCAACCCAAGAAGTAGAAAATTCGAAATAACCAATGTCCATGCAAGAAACTAGAAAAATTCATTTAAAAATTACCTCCAATGTAGGCTCCGTGGCTTGACTATTCTACTAGTGAACCTGTTCAGATTTTCTAGGCACTGATAATAACCTTGGGCTTTTCCGGAGCAGAGAGCAAACTGGAATGCTCCAGAGGATAACCTTATTGCTAAAATCTAATAGAGAAAAAACAGCTATTTGTGTGTTTGTTTGTGTGTAGGTATTTATAGATCTCTTCCCTCCCACCTAGGAGGGCCATTCCGGAGGGTATTAGGAAATTTTTTAACATAACACTTCCCAGCAGTAGATTAAAGGTGAAAACCGTTATTTGTGTAGACGCAAAACAAAAATTGGGTGTAACTTGGCATGTATATTAAAAAGTTTAAAAAGTATTTTTTAAATTTTTTTAATTTTTATTATTTTTTGAGATGGAGTCTTGCTGTGTCGCCCAGGCTGGGGGTGCAGTGGCGCAATCTCAGCCCACTGCAAGCTCCGCCTCCCGGGTTCACGTCATTCTCCTGCCTCAGCCTCCCAAGTAGCTGGGACTACAGGCGCCCGCCACCACGCCCGGCTAATTTTTTGTATTTTTAGTAGAGATGGGGTTTCACCCTGTTAGCCAGGATGGTCTTGAAAAAAGTATCTTATTTTTTAAAGTGAAGGATACTTTCAGCCTTTGAACAGTGTCTGGCACATGGGAGGCAGGAAGTGTCTGTTAAATGAAGGATTCCTTTGATTGCAGCATACAAAGGTTTCTTTTATTTTTTAAATCATCTCAATCAGCCAGTGTCATTCTTAGTATTGGCAAATTCCTTTCCGAAACTAGTAGTGAAGCCCAGGAGAGTGGTGGAGAGCTTGATGTGAAATCTGCATCCCTCTGAGGATGTGGTGTGGCCTTGGACAGGCTACCTAACCTCTCCGTATCTCAGTTTCGTGTCTGTAAAATTGGAATAATGGAAGTACTTAGAGGTTGTAGGCATTTAATGAGCTAATATGAAAAATGCATAAAACAGTTCCTGGCATATGGTAAATTCAGATATATTTTGTTATTTCATGATTAGACAGTATTTTGAGGGCTGATCTACTTAGGAAGATATGAACTGAGATAAGAGGTGTGATTTATTTCCTGTAGAACCCAACAGAATCAACTTGAAAAACTTGGACTTAATAAGGAGGCTCAGTAAAGTGGACAAACAAGGCAAAGAAAATACTTTCTTAAATCCCTGCAATTACTGGTTAATAAATATAATGGGGAAATAAAATAGAATGAAAACAAGAAAGGTAGGAAATCTGAATGAAAAAATAAACCTAAAAACCTTACTGAGAGATATAAAAATGTAAGAAATAAAGACATGTCATATGCCAGAATGGCAAGATTGAGTATTATACAATTTTTAATTCTTCTCAAATACTGCATTGAGGCTCAGTGCAGCCTCAAATGGAATTATTCTTGGGAACCTGTCAAAATGATTGTAATTTATCGAGAAGAACAAATAGATAATATCTACTAAAACTTTGTCAAGGAAGAATGTGGAAGGACTTGACTTGACAGTTATTGAAATGCCTCATAACGTTATAGTAATTAAAGTAATATGATACTGGAACAAATCAGAAAAAAAGTAGAATGGCATAGAAATCCTCAAGTAGATCCCTATCTACCTAAGAACCTGGTATATGATGGTGGAAGTAACATAAACCAATGAGGAATGTACTGGAAAAACAGGATGTTTGAAGGAAAAAGTCAAGTTAGATCCTGGTCTTATAGCATGTACCAAAATAAATTCCAGATGAATTGAGAATTAAATGTAAAAAACCCATAAAAAAGGACCAGAAAACACAGATGCATAATTGCTTTATCTTGTAATGTGAAAGGAACAAGTGCATTGAAAGGAATCATTAAGAAAAAGATTAAGAGTGTATTATACATTTTTAAAAACTTAATTACAATGTTAAGGACAATCCAGGGAAATATTTACAAATGTATTATAGACAAATTACCGGCATCTTTAATGTGTAGAACACACACACGCCCGTACATGTACTCCAAAAAAGCCTCCACACAGTAGAAAAAAGCAGTTTACACAAGACAATTTATAGCAGAATCAATATGAGCGATTCATATAAAAATGTTCAGCATTACTAGTAATAAAAAGTTTTCTACTAATCAAATTGGTTATTAAAAAAATAATCATGTTGGTAAAGATGCAGTGAAACAACCTGCACTTTCAAATATAGTTGATAGAAATGTAAATTGGTATAATCTTTCTGGAAAGCAATTCGGAAATGTGCTTCCAAAGTAAGCCACATCCAGGAACACAGTGATCCTGTTTTAGGAAACAATCAGAAATGCAAGTATGATTAGTAAGGGTGTTTGTTGTTTCCTTATTTTAAATTGTGAAAAATGTGAAACAAATGTCCAACAATAGAGGATTGATTGAAGTTATGATATATTCATATGATGGAATATTTAGTATGTGAACATTGTTTTCAGTGCTTATGTAAACAGGGAAGTATATGAAATAATAAGAAACTGAAATAACACTTTTTAAAAGGCAGTGAGAAGAGAAAATCATACAAAGCGAGAAAAGATGGGATTTTGTGTAGAGCTGGGAGTGTGACTCTGAGCAGGGAACTCAGCAGCAGGCGAGTGGAGTGGGTCCTCCATTCCTGGTGGGCTTGCCCTGGGGCACAGTGGGATGCCCTGCAGGGCTATGCTCAGGAGCATGCTATGTCCTGGCCGCTCTTCCTTTCTCCTACCCTGTGAACCAGAGAGGGGCATTCTTATAAAGCAGCAGATAACAGACCCCGCGGGTGCCAGGCAGTTTGAGTTCAGGTGGCAGTTGGGGTGGTGGCTGACTCCAGCGGCTTGGCACTTGGAGGGCCTTGGTGGCTTTCTGCCAGTGGGAGGTGGTAAGTTCAGGGCTGTGCCTATCCCTGGGAAGGAAGAGCGCCTCATCTCAATGAGCTCATTGCTGGGCAACCCGGAGCCCCCGGGGCTGGTTATTAAGCAATCCTCCTTACCTCCTAGAGCAAATTCAACAGAATCTTAAGAGTTTGTTCTCTGTGAGGTGAGGTTATGGGTGACTCTAATATGGGATTTTTTTTCTAGGTACCATGCCTTACTTTATAATCAGAAAAGAAGCATTATTTTAAAATCATGCAGATAGGCCGGGCGTGGTGGCTCACGCCTGTAATCCCAGCACTTTGGGAGGCCGAGGCAGGCGGATCTCGAGGTCAGGAGTTTGAGACCAGCCTGGCCAGGCTGGTGAAACCCTGTCTCTACTAAAAATACAAAAAATTAGCCGGGCATGGTGGTGCGCGCCTGTAATCCCAGCTACTTGAGAGGCTGAGTCAGGAGAATCACTAGAACCCAGGAGGCAGAGGTTGCAGTGAGCCAAGATTGTGCCATTGTACTCCAGCCTGGGTGATAGAGTGAGACTCTGTCTCGAAAAAGAAAAGTCATGCAGATAATTAGGGTTCTATTTGAGAATATAATTTAAGAAGTGAAGTTTTCTTCCCTTAGCAAAGGTCATTCTAAAGACCCTCCAGTGCTTGGGAAAGGAGTATGAGCACCCTAAACCCGGCAGGCAGGTACTGCACCACGCTGACTGTCTTCTGGGGGTCTCCAAGAAATGAAGGACTGTGTGAGGACGTGGGGCTGCAGAGGTCTGGCCCCATCTCAGCTCAGCTGGGCCTTGCCTTGGGGGCTGGATATTCCAGTTACCACTCAGAGGCTTTGCACGTTTCCCTATTGGAAAGATCTTCTGTTTTATTTTCGAACTCTATCTTGAAACATTTACACATTTAGAAAAAGTGAAAGAATAGTACAACCAACACCTGTATACCTCCCACCTAGGCTTGGCAGTTGATATTTGGCCGTATTTGTCTCTCCTTTTTTCCCACTCTTGCTGAACTATTTTGAAATTAGTAGATAGCATAATCCTTCACCCCTCAATACATCAGAAAATGTTTCCGAAAAACACGGTCATTAACCTGCATAGTAATCACATCATATCACTTCTAAGACACTTCAACTAATTCCTTAATATCATTGATACACAACCACCCGTGCAGGTCTCCCAACCTGTTCCCCAAAGGTCTTCCACAGCTTTATTTGGGAGGTGGGGTGTGGGGTTTGGGAGGTGGTGTGTGGGGTTTGGGAGGTGGTGTGGGGTTTGGGAGGTGTTGTGTGTGGGGTTTGGGAGGTGTTGTGTGTGGGGTTCGGGAGGTGTTGTGTGGGGTTCGGGAGGTGGCGTGTGGGTTCGGGAGGTGGCGTGTGGGGTTCGGGAGGTGGCGTGTGGGGTTTGGGAGGTGGTGTGGGGCAAGACCATGATCCATTCAGGGTTCCCACATTTCATCTGGCCTTTCTCTCTATAGTCTCTTATTCTAGACCAGTCCTCTCTCTTTAAAACTTTTTTTTTTTCTCATAGCAGTGACTCTTTGAGGAGAGCGGACCGGTTATCTTCTAGAATGTCCTATGTTCTGGATTTGCTTGTCTCCCAGTTGTGGGGCAGGCATTTCACTTGTTCATCTATCCCTTTATTAACAATAAAGTTAAAGACCGGCTTAAGGGCTTGATTAGGTTGGGTGCTGTGGCTCCTGCCTGTAATCCCAGCACTTTGGGAGGCTGAGGCAGGAAGATCACCTGAGGCCATGAGTTTGAAACCAACCTGGGCAACAAGGTGAAATTTTTTAAGAATTAAAAAAATTAAAGGCTTAATTAGACTCAGGTTAACACTTTAGCAAGAATACTTCAGAGCTGGTGTTGTGACTTCATGTTACATCCATCAGGAGGCATGTGATGCAGGTTGTCTCACAGGTAGTGATTCTAGGTTTCATTATTTTTTTAGAGTGATGACAGCAAATTTTCTTCTTTGTAAAGATAGAGTTTTCCCATTGCACTTAGAAAATAATTTTGGGGGTAATAATTCATTGCTGTGTGAATATTTCATTCGCTATTAATTTTTGTTTGTTTGCTTGTTTTTTGTTTTCTTGAGACAGAGTCTTGCTCTCTCTCCCAGGCTGGCGAGCAGTGGCATGATCTCGGCTCACTGCAACCTCCGCCTCCCCGGGTTCAAGCGATTCTCCTGCCTCAGCCTCCCGAGCAGCTGAGATTACAGGCAGCTGCCACCATGCCTGGCTAATTTTTGTGTTTTTAGTAGAGATGAAGTTTCGCTATGTTGCTCAGGCTGGTCTCAAGCTCCTGAGCTCAGGCAATCCACCCACATCAGCCTCCAAAAGAGAAAGGATTACAGGGGTGAACCACTGCGCCTGGCCTCCCCATTAACTTTTACCCAATAATTTCAGTGCCAATAATTTTATTGCCTGAATCAATTATTTAATAGGGAATTGCAAATAAGGGCTTTTCTAACTCTATGGTTTCTTTTATATTTACTAGTTGGCAGTCTTCTGTGAAAAACGGCTTCTTCCCCCCACCAACTGGGCATAAACTACATTTTATCCTAAAAAAAAAAAAAAAAAAGAAAATATTAAATTTTTTCTTAGATACCAACTTTTAGAGTAGGAAATTGGTTTGATAGTTATCTCTAATAGTGTCAAATGAGTATTTTTTCCTTTTCTCTTTTTTGAATATCATGGACTTCGGATGTTTTAAAATCTAATACCTTATCCTCAGTTACAGTCACTATTTGTTTTTTATTGAGATATAATTTACATACCATAAAATTCACCTTTTAAAACATACAAATCAACATTTAAAAATGTATTTGCAAAGTTGTGGAACTATCACTGCTATCTACTTCCAGAACATTCGTCCCCTGCCCCCCTGAAATATTAGCCCTGCACTCTTTAGCAATCGTTCCCCATTACTCCTTCCCTTCAGCCTCAGGCGGCCACTCACCTGCTAGTCCTGTCTTGTAGGTTGCCTATTCTGGACATTGCATATAAATGGAATCAGACAATATGTGGCCTTTCATGTCTGGCATCTTTCAGTGCAGTGTTTCAAGGTTCTTTCATGTTTGTAGCACTTCATTTCTAATATTCCATTGTATGGATATATACCACGTTTTGTACATCAGTTGATGGATATGTGTACATTTTATATGAACAATTCCCATGGCTTTTCCACTCAAGTTAGGATTTCTTAGTTTAAGCCAGGTAGGGTAAAAAGTGGAGCTGAGTTCGGTGACTGTGCTTATCGTCAAATGCTGCTTCTTCCGTATGTTGCAGTCTAATGCTGGCGTGCTATGCGGGACACCTAGATGTTGTGAAATATCTCCGAAGACACGGCGCTTCTTGGCAGGCTAGAGACCTGGGCGGCTGTACGGCTCTGCACTGGGCTGCAGATGGAGGCCACTGCAGTGTGATTGAGTGGATGATAAAGGATGGCTGTGAGGTACGGGACCTGCCTTGTTAACCATGCACATATCGTCAAGAATCTGAAATGCTGCTCCACGGGGTCTGGCAGAAGCAGGGCCTTTGATTAGTCAACCTACAAAATGCTGGAGAAAGTTTTCTGACTTAGCAAGAAAGCCCCTGAAACCTTAGAATGGACATGAGAGTGAGCTTTCCGATTGTCGTGGGGGTTTGTCTTGTGTAGGGAAAAGAAACATGTCTGAATCCAGATCTGGACCTAATGCTTCTACTTTCTTTTTCTTTTTCTTCTTTTTCTATTTTTCTTTTTCTTTTTCTTTTTCTTTTGAGATGGAGTCTCACTCTGTCGCCCACGCTGGAGTGCAGTAGTGCGATCTCGGTTCATTGAGACCTCTGCCTCCCAGGTTCGAGTGATTCTCCTGCCTCAGTTTCCTTAGTAGCTGGGATTACAGGCACATGCCACCACGCCCAGCTAATTTTTGTATTTTTAGTAGAGATGGGGTTTCACGATGTTGGCCAGGCTGGTCTTGAACTCCTGACCTCAAGTGATCCACCTGCCTTGGCCTCTCAAAGTGCTGGGATTACAAGTGTGAGACACTGCACCCGGCCTGATGTTTCTACTTTGTTCTTTTGTTCATTTGCTGATTTCTTTCTTCATTCAGTCTGTCACTAAAGCTTTACTAAGCATGTACCAGATATTATCTCAAATGGTGGTGATACAAAGATATTAAGAGCTCTTATAGCCATTGTGCTTCTTGTTGCTTCTAAAATTAGGTAATTTTTATTCTTGGTTTGTTTTAAAGATTAGTCATTACAAAAAATTTCCAAAGAGCAAACTGACCCTATCAAGAATAGAACATTTCAGTTGTGTCTTTACCTGGAAACAGGCAAGTTGGTCTACTTTTGATTTCATGTTATCAGAAACTGCAAATTTGATTTAGCAAATAGAAGCAGTGTTGTTTGGACATCTATAGATATTTGAAGACGGGTAATTAGAATTAGATCAATTATGGAAATTGCTGATAACTTTGAAAACTTTAGTTCAAGACTTTGAAGGAATCAGCTAAAAATTTCAAAGCATAGAACTAAAGAATGATGGACAAAGTTCTGTGCTATCTGTGACTGCCAGATGGTGTGTAGTGCTGAGAAATTAAGTCGATGACCTGGAAAATCAACTCAAATTGAGAAAAGTCATGTCTCCTGGAAGATGTCAGTAGATTTGTTCTAGTTTGTTTCTGAAGGGTAATTGAGGGAAAGTGAGACTTCAGTTATGGGATCTACCTGGTTCCTGCTGCTGCTTTTGGAGAATTAAGAAAAGTGCCCACTTATAGGAAAAATTTCAGTCATTAAAAATTCATTACATTTCTTATTTTCCTTATGTTTTAGAGACAGGCACAGAGGCAGGAGGCTGAGCCTATGGGCTTCCATAGTAGAGCTGGGCCCATGTGCCATGTGTGGTAGTGACAGCCACACACTCCTTGATTGGTTTATGATGAATTCTGGGCAGGTTTTGCACCTAGTGAAAGTCTGTGGTTGAAAAAGAAGGTTGTACTTTGCTGTAAGAAGTCAGGCATCCAGGCCGGGCACAGTGGCTTATGCCTGTAATCCCAGCACTTTGGGAGGCCAAGGCGGGTGGATCACTTGAGGTCAGGAGTTCGAGACCAACTTGGTGAACATGGTGAAATGCTGTCTCTACTGAAAATGCAAAAATTAGCCATGTGTGGTGGTGGGTGTCTGTAATCCCAGCTTATTAGGCAGGCTGAGGCAGGAGAATTGCTTGAACCCAGGAGGTGGAGGTTGCAGTGAGCCAAGATCGTGCCACTGCACTCTAGCCTGGGCGACAGAGTGAGACTCCATCTCGAATGAATGAATGAATGAATGAAGCATTCACAATAGGGCAAATCTCTATCAACATTTAAATACTGGAGTTTTGGAAATGTTGGCTCTCAGGGCTTCAGATATCAGTATACTTATTTGGGAGAAATTCCATCTTTGAAGCACTGGAACTACTTTGCAGAGGACAGAACAGTAAGCATGGATGTGTTCACTATAGATTTCCACATGACTGGCCTGGTGGCGGATGGATGATGTCAACATGAGTCTCCATGTTCTGGCAGATGGCTCACCTGATGCTTCTGAAGCCCATAGGAAGGACTTGGGACCCAATCACCACCTTCTTCCCAAATGTAATGATCATATACTAAGAGTGACTTATTGGCGACTTAGGTATTCATTTCTGCATTTAATGATCCATGTGATCTCAGGAAAGGCACTTCTCTGAGATTTAGTTTGATCGTTTGTAAACCAAGAATAAAAATACCTACCTCTGATTAACCTTTAGGACCAAAAGAGAAAGTGTGTGTAAAGAGGGTTGTGAAAGCTTGTATAAAGCATCATGTAATATGAGGTGCTTATTTTATTATTCTTTAAATATAACGGAGTGTGTTGCCCACAGGTTAGTTCTTTGCATGAAGAAGAGCTACAAATCCAAATCGTGTTACAGTGGATAATCTTATACGTAGAAATACCCTGAAGTGCCCCCAAGATCTCCTGGAAATTCCTTGTTTGTTGTTCCATTCTGAAGTTTTACTAAAGCTGTGCTTCATCTTTGAGTAATTTTTCTGTAACAGATTGTGTGTGTGTGCGTGCATGTGCTCATGTATGCTTACATGCATGGGTGCACATGGTATGCATGTGTGCATGTACACGTGCACGTGTGTATCTGAGCACACACATGTATCTGTCTTTACTTCAGCACCACTCTTCGTGGATTGGTGAGGTCTTCACTGGAATTGGAAGAGACAACATTTACATTTTCTTAATCTGAAATATTTATTTTAAAACACTAAATTGAGAGATTTCAGTGTAGAGAAGATGATCAGGAAATAGCCATCTGATTACCGGGCACACTGTTTTGGAGAAGCCATTAGTCGGACTTTTGAGACAGAGTTTGTGTAATGAATCTGGTTGTTCTGCATTGTACCTGTAGGTCTCCTGCCTAAAATTGATAAGTATTGGTGAGCATAAGAGTGTGTGTGTATATATTACTGTCTCATTCCAGAAAGGATGTAAAGCTCCTTACAACGATACGTAAAAGAAAGAAAAATGAATGCTAGGTGAGGAAAGTTAGGCAAGAGAAAATAAGAGCTCACCAGGAGCCAAGGGGAAAGTAGTTCGGTTAATTTTTCCAGCCCACCTTTTTTCCACTTTAAAGGATGTAGGTGAAGAAGCTGACAGGGAGACCCTGGGGCCTCTCAGCACCCTCTAATGCGATTCTAACACATGTCTTTGCAGCACAGAAATGTAACTTAAATTAGAACAGTGCAGTGAACCAAATATAGAAAGACTGCTATCTAAGTCCGGGCATTGGGGCAAGCAAATATTCCTTTTATAAGTTTGAATCAGTTTAAGAAAAAGAAATTGGGCTTAACACAGCTGTTTCTCTGGCGCAACAGGTAGACGTCGTGGACACTGGTTCAGGGTGGACCCCACTCATGAGAGTCTCTGCGGTGTCAGGAAATCAGAGGGTGGCCTCTCTGCTAATTGATGCTGGAGCCAACGTGAATGTGAAGGACAGAAATGGAAAGACGCCCCTTATGGTAGGTCCTCCTCCCGAAAATAGGCAGTTTTCTGCGTGGAATTAAGGTCAGAGCTTTTTCTGTAATTAGACAATTCTTGTGAGTTCAGCCCTGCACCAGCCCTTGGGTTTGACTGTGTGTGTGTTCCCTGTCGGCTTGTTCATAAGGGCATGAGGCTATCACTAGAATACTTCGTTGCCTTTTTATAACTAAGGAGTAAAGAGCCCCTGTCCCCAGGACTGCTGTGGGATCAAAACAGATCTGGTGAAACAAAGAACAACCTGCTTTCTGTCCTGGTTTTCGTGTGGAGAGAGGGAGGGTCCGTTTTCATTTTCCCTGGAGTTGCTACCACTGCAGCTGCAGAGGAAGTGCTGTGCCTGCAGGCCACGCAAAGCCACAGTGGCCCTTTGTGGGTTGCAGGGGGGCTGCTGGGACCCTGCACGCGCCAGGCTCGTGCTCCCTGCTGTGTGTGCCCTGGAGGGAGATGCTCATGCAAACCACCCTGGGTTTTGTTTTCTAGGTGGCTGTGTTAAATAATCATGAAGAGTTAGTTCAGTTACTTCTTGACAAAGGGGCAGATGCAAGTATAAAAAATGAGGTAAATGAGTCCATCTTTACGTAAAGATTTTCCTCGGAGGGGGAGAAAGAACATTTATAAGCATGTAAAATTTTTGTTGTTTCCTGTTGCAGTTCGGCAAAGGTGTCCTAGAAATGGCCAGAGTTTTTGACAGACAGGTTGGGATGCTCTTTCTGCCTATCAAGGCTAATTTTGTAGTCCTTCTAGACTCAAACCACCAAAACCCTGCATTACATTCTCCTGTCTGTTTTGTTTATCCAGAGTGTAATCTCCTTACTAGAAGAAAGGAAAAAAAAGCAGAGGCCAAAGAAGTCTTGTGTCTGCTGATGAGAGCACCACTCATCTGCGAAATGCACGTAAAACAAAGTGAACCGTGACTGTTAAACTAGGGATGGGAAATTCTGCATCTTGGAGGGCTGTACGTTTATTTATTTATTGAAGATTCACTGATCCCACTTTGAAATACATCTTTTTACCTAAGCACATGCGTATGTGTTGCCATCACTGGGCGTCTGTAGAATGGGGATGTTTTCTTGCACTTGTGCCTTTTGGAGTTAGACATGAAACAAAATATTGATGCACCGGAGCTACACAAACACACGTGGGTCTCCCACTCCTGGCTCCTGCCCCGCAAGCTGTCCTCCGACCACGCTAGGCCTTGCTGGAATTCTTTCCCTCATGTGTTTTCAATTAAATCCTGCCCTCCCAACTTAGGGCTTCCAGGCTGGTTGTCAGGCCACTGCTCCCTCCTGGAGCGGTGCTCCTTCGAAAAGCCCAGGCATTTTCTCTTCAGCTGTTGGCCTCACATCAAAGCTCAAAATACATATTTCAAGACTCCAGTTCTGTTCTATTAGAGGTGTCTGCTTGAGGGTCAGCCTTCTTAGACCACAGACAGGTCTAATGTGTTTGCATATACTCAGGCCCTGACAATGAAAGACTTAGCCTGCTCATGGACTGACGACGTAGCCAAAGGGTAGTGTATTAAATTTTGTCTTCAGAGCAGAAGGTTTTCTGATGCTGATTATGCAGTTCCTAGACAAGTAGGAATTAACCGCAACCATGTCTGCTGGTTGGGAGCTTAAAGACACAAATGTGGTAGAGCTTCAACTCAGCAAACATACTTCAAAATCAGCAAAAAAGTGAGCACACAGACCACATGAATTTTATGTCTCCAGAGACACACTGGTTAACTTGGCCCCATGGGAAAACCAGCTACAAAGGTCTGTAGAGGAGTGGATTTTTTTTTTTTTTCTGTAGGGGAAGACTAATAAAAGGTAATTAAAGCTCCAAAGCTTGTGCTGAGGGGCATAGAGAAAAAGCACACAGTTTTATTGACGTTAGCAATCAGCTTTATTCCAAAGAGCTCACAGAATATTCAATTTAGGAATTGGATTTGTGGACCATATATAGTCCATTCCTTAACTATTTCATGAGTGTTTTACCTTTTGTACAAATGCATATTCCTTTAGATTTGCCAGATTAGATTTTTAAAACCTCTTTAAAAATTGGAGCACATTTACAACTCTCCAGAGGTTCCTCCTTTGGTTGGTGGTCAATGTTGACATTCACCTTAGTTTCATTTTTTGGTCTGTTGTAGACTATATTCACTAGCCTGCTCTATGGAAGAAGTGTGCATCCCTTCTGGTTGACATCAAGCTTGGCAAAACTGCCCACCCTCCTGATCAATATCGAACCATCCTTATATTCTTGAGATCATCTCCCTGGGTTATGGTGGACTGCAGGATTCTTCATGCTCATATGCTATGTATGTTTGCTCTTTTTCTTCTTTTTGCTTAATGAGATTAGAAGGTGGTCTATATACACTGTTTGAATTTTCCCAATGAGCAACTCATAGTTTTATTAGCTCTACTTTTTTCTAATGAACTTATCCTTAGGTCTACAAATTCATTTCTTCTATTTTTCCCCCTGGGTTTATTTTATTGTTCCTTTTATAACTTATAGTAGATATTAAATTCCCTTTTTCATCCTTTACAAATTAATATATAGATTTAGGGCTATGAATTTTCCCCCAGCAGTGCTTTAGTTACATTATCATAGAAGTTTTCTAAACTTTTGATGAAAAATACAACTGGGAGAACTTGCTAAGTACACATTTCATAGCCCCATCTCAGCTCTTTGAATTGGAATCTCCAAGGAAAGGGCATGAGCAATGGATTTTAATGGGTTTGAACAAGCATCACAAGTGAGTTATTCTAATTCCAAGAGTTTGAGAATCCCTACCATCATGTGTGCTATTACAAATGTTTTCACTTGCTGTTTTCTAATCTGCAATTCATCTTTGAAAACTAATGAATCATTACATTTCTAGCATATGGAATTATTTTTTGAGAATTTTTTTCCTCCAAGGCACTTGGAAAGATGATATATTGTGTATATTTTGAGTATCCTGTTATATATATATCAATTATGGTTGAAGTTTTATATGTACTAATTTGTGCCAGCTTGTGTGATCATAGGTGGAGAATGGTAAGAATAAAGACTCCTTCGGCTGGGTGTGGTGGCTCACACCTGTAATCCCAGCATTTTGGGAGGCCAAAGTGGGCGGATCATGAGGTTAGGAGTTCGAGACCAGCCTGGCCAACATGGTGAAACCCTGTCTCTACTATAAATACAAAAATTAGCCAGGCATGGTGGCCCGTGCCTGTAATCCCAGCTACTCAGGAAGCTGAGGCAGGAGGATCGCTTGAACCCAGGAGGCACAAGTTGCAGTGAGCTGATATCACACCATTGCACTCCAGCCTGGGTGACAGAGTGAGACTCTGTCTTTTAAAAAAAAAAAAAAAAATTCCTTTATTCTTATTAGCATTTTGTATATGTATTTTTCTTTGTATTTTCTGTAGTTTTATTAAGTTGGATGCTGCATTTCTTTTTTTTTTTTTTTTTTTTTTTTGAAACAGAGTCTTGCTCTGTTGCCCAGGCTGGAGTGCAGTGGCCGGATGCAAGCTCCGCTTCCCGGGTTTACACCATTCTCCTGCCTCAGCCTCCCGCCTCAGCCTCCCGAGTAGCTGGGACTACAGGCGCCCGCCACCTCGCCCGGCTAGTTTTTTTTGCATTTTTTAGTAGAAACGGGGTTTCACTGTGTTAGCCAGGATGGTCTCAATCTCCCGACTTCCTGATCCACCCGTCTCGGCCTCCCAAAGTGCTGGGATTACAGGCTTTTGAGCCACCGTGCCCGGCGATGCTGCATTTCTTAACCTTGTAAATAGGCACCTGTTTACACTTACATTTTTCATACACTTAAATTTTTCATACCAAATAACTCTGATATTAATGTCTGTACCACTGCTTGCTTGCTTTTTGGATTTCTTATGTAAATAGATGAGTTTTAAAAAGTTAGGTTATACATTCATATTGTTCAAAAACCATATCAAGCCTCACCCCCCATGCTGTGTGTGAGCATCTTCCTTCCTGTGCCACAGTCTCACACGTTCATGTGGCTGGTAGCACACACCCCTTATGCACCCCCAGCCTGCCAACCATCCTTCGTAGTTTCTTTTTGTACTGTTCCAAAATTTTCTCAAGCATCTATAAATGAATGAGAATACATTTTTCTACATGAAGGCCTTCCCCCAATTTTTGTAACATTCTCAGTAACAAATGAGATACACGTTGATATTTACCTTTATACTATTTATTGGGTTTAATATTTGTAACAATTTTTTCTACTGAAATAGCAGGTTGTGTTTACCTGTCAAACCCCAATATGAGAGATGTGTACAAAAGCAACAGACTGATATAAAAAGGTACGTGAAAAAATTAGCAAACCAAAGCATGATAAATGGACGAAGCACTATAAAATGACTGTGCTGGTTTACGTAACTGTATCTTTAATGTATACTGTGCTAAATAGCCTATAGCCACGTTTTAAAGAGTTCCAGGAACAATTGCCACACATTCAAAGAACAAGCATTCACTACAGCCTCCCGATTTGACTTGATGGGAGGGACAGGAGAATGAGTCACTCTGCCACCACTTTTCCTGCCTTGGATTTGTAGAGGATTTTTTTTTTTTTTTTGGTCTAATTTGTTTTTCCTATCACTGCCCTACTAATGTACCTGCTTATAGGCCATGAAAATAAAATGCCATTCAACTTTTTTTGTAAAACTAAAATAATCACATGGTACTTAATCTTTGGAGGATTTAATATGTGCTAAATGGAGGACTAGAGCGTTACGTTATAGGAGAATCACGGGGAACAGAGAAACTGCTTTTTGAAGATGATGTGGAAGGTCAGGATGGGTTCCAGGGCATTCAACCTGGAAGAGCTGAATAGCTTTACATTGAGAATTACTTTATGTGTTAAATCTTCTGGCCATCATTATCCATTGTTGGATATTTTAACAATTTTATAGTTATTCTTTTCAATTTTTCTCATATGAAACTGTAAATGGCTGTACTAGAAGCTGTCATTACTGTTCCAAAAAGTGAAGGGGATTTTCTCTACAAAAGGAAAGAAAATGGCACATTCACATGTAGGTAAGTAGCTTCTGGAAACATCTTCACTGCACAGAAATGGTTCTCAGCATGAGGCTCCCAAACTTTCTTAGAGTGCCATTCATTTTAGTATCAGAGTTTTGAAATAGGTTTAAAAGCAATAGATGTCAATAGGAACTTTAAGGTGAGGTAAGAGAATTTTGTAATTATAAGTTGATTTTCTATGGCTAACTTCCCCTTCTAATTAGAACAAGACATTGGGTGGGGAGGTCCTCTGCTGGACTCAGGCTGGTGGGGTTGCTCTGGGCTGTGGCCCTGGAGAAGGCTGGGCTTTGGGCATCCCTTGGGTGGGCCTTGTAGGGACAGCCACACACTGCAGCAATCACCACTTTGGCTGATCTGAAGTGGCAACGGAAATAGCAATTTGACTGTCACAAACTGGAGATGCATTGGCCTGGGGTTTGACCTGGGAAAGGGGCTTGTGTCTGGGTGATAGGGAAAGGTAAACAGATAATATTGGCCACTGGCTTCCCGTGGGCAGCTGTGTTGAATCAGCCTGCTGCTGAGTCACAGGGAGTAACTGCAGCTGCCTAGGGCTGGCTTCTAGCATGGGAGAGGAGGAGGAAAGGGGTCCTGCAGTGTCCCCCAGCAGCCGGTCATAGTGTGTGAAACTCCTAGCCTGAGAGCCCCACCTCTGGTCAGCACTAGTGTTGGGAGACTTCTGGGAGGGTTTATGACTTTCAGCTGGGTAACTGGTGTCTGGCTGGGGCCATCTTGAGCGCAGTGAGGAGGGATCTCTCAGCCTGAGTGATACGCAGGGGAGCCCTGCATATAGCAGTTTTGAAATGAGTACGCCTCACGAGGAAAGTCTGCAAGAGGTCAGGGTGCATGAGAAAGATCTGGCCCTGCTGCCCTGTCACTGCCTTGTACCCTTTCTGCTGCTGGGGGTCTCATTGGCTCAGAGTGCTTAGTAAACATCAGTGGCAAAGGGACAGGAGGACGTTCAGCCCTGCCAGTCGGCCCAGCACCGGGCTCTTTTTAGCACCGTGGAGACCATAGGCTCCTAAGAACATTCTGACACAGTGTTAGCAGGGTTTTTTTTTTTGAGGATGCATTGATGTATTGATTTGCCAGGGAACAATGGCCTATAGTTCAGCCTGAGAATTCTCATAAAGTTAAGAAGGCATAAAAATGTCCCCCCCGAGACTCGTCAGGAGTATTTACTCTCCTACAGTTTAATTTGCTGCTTTTGTGGTTTCTGTGATGTCATCCCACATGTGTAAGCTGGAAAAATCCACCCTGGGAAGTGTAACCTCCTGTGTGTATTTCCACAATGGAGGATGTTAGGCTTCGTTTCCCTCGGTTGCTACACATCTGATTACATGTGTCAGGAAAACAAACTTAAAAAATTTCAGGAGACAAACCTTTCAGTGGAATTGCCTGGAACCTATGAAGTGAGGTCATAGAACCTACAACTGTAAGATGATGTAGGAAGAAAAGTGGCCTCTGGGCTACTTTGTGTCTAGTCGCATTGACTTTCCAGGTGATGGCCTTACAAAACTCAAACCTCCTCTATTATTCATGCCTATACAATCTTTAAAAAAACACTAGATTGCCATTGAAATATATAAGTATTAACTTTTTGTTGTTGTTTTGAGGATATAAAAAGGAGTACTCCACCCCCTGCCTCCCCCCACCACAAAACACCCTGGTTATTGGTTCGTTTCCTAAGTTATGAATTTGCTGTTAAATATGCTTCACTTGATAAATATTGCATCTTGGAAGGATTAATACTGTCTGTATTGTAAGGGAATATTAGTTTAAATATGTTCTTATTCAGAAATAAAATGCATGGCTCTATAAAAACAAATTAGTACTGTAGAGATACGAATGTGTCATCAGCCACGGCCCCTAAGTGGCCATTGATGACATGGCATAAGATCACAGTTTTAACCTCCTTTAATATCAAAGTCTTCCTGGCTCTCTGAAATAGAAGCATAGGAATTACAGCTAAGAACAAACAACAAAAGAAAAACTCAATTCATATCCTCTTATAATAGGAAGAAGGGCTAACATGCCAGATCTAAGGATTTGGGCATCTAAAAAGACAATGCCCCCATAATGCACCATAAAATTCTGTAAACCTTTTTAATAGTATATATATATATATAAAAGTTTGGCCTTAGTACAATTACCAAGTGTAATATCAGTTACAGTAATTCTGTATGTATCTCAGCAGTATTATTTTCCAGCATGGCTTTACATTTTTAAGAACTTAACTATAGAATAAACAGATGCATGCTATAAGAGTTGGAATGTATTAGAGCTAGGTTCCCTTTTGTGTGTGTTTGTGTCACATGTTTACTTAGTTTCTCCCATAGTCATGAATACTATGTTGCCTAGATACAGTGGGGAACACCGGGAAAGTGAGATGCAGTTTTGTTTTCTGGAAGGCAAACCAAGATTCTTGGTACATATTTTTCTTTGTTTCAAGGCATAGGAAAACTGTTGACCCCCAAAAGAAGCCCTTCTCATAATACACTCAGAGTGAATTACGTAACTGTTGTCAGTTGTCTTCTAATGTGAAAACCAGTCATACATGACCCCTCCAGAAGACACTTCTCACTCCAGAAGTGAGAGGCATCATGACGTTTTACTTTATCTGAGTATTTTTGTATTTCTCATGCCATTAGTCATCGTAAAGACCTTGTGAAACATGGCTCCCTAGTCAGGCATTTGAAGAGTGAAAAGTTCAAGGGGATGCTGCCCAAGCCAGCATCTCACACATATTTAGGTAGTTGATAAGCAGGTTCATTTCTTTATCACGTTCTGTGATGCTCAACAGGTAGGTTACAAGTGTTTGTTTAAGAAATAGGTTCAGACTCTATTAAAAGCATCTTTTAAAGATTCCTGCAGCCAAGCTGGAAAAAGAGGATTCCCCATAGAGAAGGCTCTTTGTCCAATATCTACGAATAATGATAGCAGACGTGAGCTATACCCATGAATATCACATTCCATTTGGTTGCAGTTTTTGCAAGCATAAAGAGTCTGCCTAATTTTCAATAAGTTGAACTTTGCAGTAAAAGGAGATTTTTTAATTGACAGACTTGATTGACTAGATCTGGTTAATGGTTCACATCTGAAATAGTTGTGGTCCCATGGAAAGCCTCATCTGTCTGAATATATGATCGTGGTGATTTGCTCGGCTCCAAGCAGTACAGGGAGGTGGTGGTTTGCAGTGCCTGGGCAGTAGGTTTCTTGTAGAAACACCACCTTTCCCAGTCTAAATAACCTACTGGTGGCAGTGCTCTAGAAAGGACAGCCAGAAAAAGAAGTGCTTGGCATTTCTATCAAGCACAACCTTGAGCCAAACATGCTTACGGCTGGTCAACTCAGGGTCAAGTTCCAGCCTGTCTAGTGTTCCAGTCTCTATCCTCGTGTGGCTACACCTTAAAATTCCTGTCTGCAACCCAGGTTCTCTCCAAAACTTCCTGGCCAGAAGCCAGATTTCTACCTGCTGTCCCAGAGCTGTCCCTGGGAGCTTGCCTGCCAGTTGTCAAGGGGCACAGGGCCTCCCTGAAACCAGACACAGCCTGGACCTGAAGCCCCTTGGCTCTGGCCTGAGATAGGGAATCTAGAAAATCAACTGAGGTTCCACTTGGGGTCTCTTGAGCTGCATCTGGTACCATAAGCACAGCTGGGGGTAGGTGGGGGACTGCTTTCCAATAAGGCCTTGATCAGAAAGCAAACACATCCTGTCCAGAATCCCATCAAGCAGGATATTTCAAGTTCACTAAAATACTAAAAGCACAACAAGCCTTCCGCCATGGAAAACTCAGTGATGGTAAAAATGCCTACCACAGCGCACTGCACTGTAATCAACATTCTGCATAAATTAATAATTTACAAGTACCTGAGCAAGTAGACAGAGCACCATAGCACAGCACAGCACTGACGGCAGTAGCTCAAAGTTCTTATAGTAATGATGTTTTAAACATTAAAAAAATCCTAAAAGTTGGTACAAAAAAACTCCAACTGGAGCTGAAAGATAGTGCAAACTTCTGTCTTCACTGTTGAAAAAAGGTGTCGGCTTCTCACTTAATGTAGGCGGTGTGGGTGGATCTGGGCACTTGGTGTGGATATTGTGGAGCAGGTCTGAATGAAGAGAGGAGGAAAAGAAATGATCAGAGCCCTTGAGAAGTGATTCTGAGGATAGAGAGGTCTGGGGTTGGAGATGCATTCTGACAGGCTGAAGGGTTTTCTGTGTCAGATAGCACTGCCCCTCATAACGGTGGTGGGAGACCTCTCTCCAAAGCTGCACTTCCCAGCCACAAATCGGCTCTAGAACAGCACTGTCCCACAGAAAAAATGTGAGCTACACAAGAAATTTTCTAGTAGCTACATGAAAAAAGTAAAGAGGTGAAATTAACTTCAGTAATACATTTAACTCAGTACACCTTAGAGGACTATTTCAACAGGTCATCAATAGAAAAAAAATGATAGTTGACATTTTAGGGTACTAAGTCTTCAAAATACAGTAAGACTTTTACCAGGCACAACATGCCTAGCAGTCCCTGTATCCCGCAGCACAGCTCCAGAGAACAGGGAGCAAAGGTGGGTACCCAGTATCCCTCAAAAATGAAATGTGCGGGACCAAAATCAGCAACTGACAGAGGTAAGATCGGCCACGGCTTGAGGGCATTTCCGAAAAAGGGCTTCCCCTCATTGTGTTCATGTAGTGTTTCTTCCTCAAATAGAACAAGAACAATAACTTCAACATGCAAACCACAATGAAATAATTAGGATGCTGCGCAATTTTTCTCTATTTATGGAGTCGAGAATTAAGCAATTGTCCTGACCCTTTGGCTGCCTTTATCTCTGAGATTTATTAGGCAGCTCGCTCTTTTACAGGCCAAACATTCTTCCCAAGAGCTGCAATGAAATCACTCCAGTGTGTCTTCTTCTTCAGAGATACTGAACCCAGGGCCTGGCCAACACAGTACCTTTGGTTCTTGTGAGCTCATAAAGCAGGCTTCCTGCCAAGAGGGCATGTGTGTCGGAAGAGTGCTTTGGCTTGGGTTTAACTCAGCTGTGTGCTGGTAAATGTTTAACAGCCCATGGGGTTGGGGGCAGGAAAGCCTGATTTGCAGTGTTTGCCAATTTCCATGGTGTAAATACTCCCCCTGTGGCTGATTTCAAGCTACCACCTGATGTCACGAAACATGGAAGAGATGCAGGCAGCTACCATGACCTAGGTTTTCTGCCTTACAGAAATAATGGTCAAGTGCAATCTCAAGAGCACAGATAATTACAGCAAAATGGAGATTAAAACATGAAGTGAGTTTTGAGCACTTATTACCTTTGTTTCTAATATAACTTATAAATTTGTATAACTGAATCCTTACTATTGGCTAGGTTTAAATTCCTGGAAATTTGTTAGCTCTCACCAACCAGGGTGAGCTGGCTCCCCCACACCATGAGGTTAGCTGGCTCCCCCACACCATGAGGTTAGCTGGCTCCCCCACACCATGAGGT